ATTTTATTACGTATTCGTATAAATTTAGATTTGTGCATTTGAAAAATTCAATTCTCAAATTTCAGTTTAATTTTAGTGGTCGTGTTTGAATTATACTTGTTTTTTTTAAGCGATATTGTTACTTTCTTATGTTTATAGAAATTAATTTCGTTATTAAGCATTTGCCGCCATTTATCGATTGATTCATGTGTTAAACAAATTGCGTGCCTTTTCTTTGCTGGTGTATTGACCCAAAGTTCTTGTGAACTTTGTAGGCCCCCAGCATGTTGGAAACAACATCCAACAATTAATTTGTATAACAATTAATTTGTGCCTTGCTTGAGTATCTTTCTCTTGAGTCACCATGCGACGGGAAATAACATCAAACAATTTATTGTTTGTACTACATTGGTCACCATGCAACGGGAAACATCATCAAACAATTCATTGTTTGTACTTCATTGGTGACCAAGCAACCCTTTCTTGCCAAAGGTGAAAAGGTGAGAGGTTGACGAATTTTTCTTAGTATTAGCTGCCATGTTGTAAGCGAAAGTTCAAATACAATCTTAAAATCCAAAAACTAATTTAATTATTATCTAGCTCTGCCTTCCGGGCATCTACGCGTGCTCTGGCTTATTGCCATATTGCGCTACAATCAAAAATACAGTCCACAAAAAACTTTTATGTGATTCCAACAAGCGGCAATGATGTTTTTTGTCAATATCAGGTAGTCACAGGTATAAAGATATCTATCTTTTGTCGCGAATAACAAGCATTTGTCAAATTGTTAGTTACTGACTTTCAAGCTCCTTTTACAAAATGTTCACGAATATTGAATATACGGGTATGCTATTAGTTATGGGGGAATGCCACAGCAATGTAGCAGAAGCTTTTAGAACTTACGCCAACACGTTTCCCAACGAATGACAGCCCAGCGCGCATGTCCTGCGCCGGCTAATTCAAAGGGCTAGAGATACTGGACGATTGGCTCCAAGAATTAAAATAGAAAGTGGACGACCAAGAGGTGCTCGGGTTCCGGACATAGAAGAACAGGTACTGAATTTAATCGCAGCAGGTCCTTCCAGGAGTACACGGGGCATTGCGCAACAAATTACAATTTCCCAGGCAACTGTACACCGGATTATTGCCGAGGAAGGGCTTCACCCTTACCATTTATCTAAAACACATGCACTTTTACACACCGACTATCCTTTAAGGCAACGTTTTGTAATTGGCTTTTGGAACAAAACCGACCAAATTCGCAGTTTTTACAACACATTTTATGGACCGAAGAAGTAAATTTCAGTAGAGATAGATTTTTCAACTCCCGCAATTCTCATGTTTATGCCACCGAGAACCCACATGCCACAATTTCGTTCCATCACCGAGACCGTTTCAGTGTAAATGTTTGGGGAGGAATCCTGGGTATTCACCTATGGGGACCCGTAATTTTGCCATTTCGGCTCAATAGCAAAATTTTTTTAATGTTTCTTCGTTCGGAATTTCAAAATTTACTTGACAATCTGCCACCAGCAGCCGTTCAAAATCTCTGGCTCCAAATGGACGGGGCTCCAGCCTATTTCGCTGCTCCGGTAAGAGTTTGGCTTAACCATGAATACACAGACAAATTGAAAGGCCGAAATGGACCAGTAAATTGGCCACCAAGATCCCCTGACCAGGCTCAGATTGATTTTTTCTTTTGGGGGCTGTGAAAGTGACTCGAATACGGGAAGCTGCACAAAATGTGAGTCCAGGAATGTTACGCAGCGTGCACAATAACATGATTAAACGGGCACAAACATGTGTGGAGTTAAATGGGCAGAAGTTCGAACACCTCTTGTGAGTTGTCCACATTTCAAAACGGTTCTTTTCAGAACCACAGATTCAAATCTAAGGATCACGCTCAGAATTTCGCTTCACCACCAAGCACCAAAATGGTTTTCGAATTTATAGGTTATTGACCTTTTTGATTGATTTCAATAGGTTCTTCATTTACCGTAGGTTGGTATCATTACGCTATAACTTTTTAATGGAGGTATTGTTGAAATCGTTGAAATTAAAAAAAAACTTTTGTTGCAACGCACCTTTAATTAAAAAAAAAGAACGTTGACAAGAGTCGTCAACGGACAAGATTGTAAATTTATATTCAAAAATAATATAATTAAATATACATAATATGCAGTCCAAAACATTGGTCCTTCGAGCCGGATAACTAATCAGTAAAAAGTAAATAAATATACCCAAAAAATATTGAAGAAAGCTGTGTCGCGAATGATAGTCCACGTGCATACAATTTATTGCATGTAAATTAAAGGAAGACAATTACTACAATTGGTACGTTCTACCAAGGATTCAATCAAAGGCACTTAGGAGTAAATGAGAAATAGAAAAGTATTTTTATTTGAACCATTAAGATGTCCGAAGAATCAAATTTGAAAGTTAGGAAAACCTCGCTTAAAGGTAAACTTTCAAGATTTAAAACCTTCTTAGACAACATTAATAAAAATAAATTAAATGAAGAAGTAATCTCAGAGATAGAATGCCGATTAGAAGCCATACAGAATTGTTTATCTGAGTTTAGTAAAATTATCTCGCAATCAGTTGTCTTAAAAAATGGCAATGAAGAAGCGTTTTTCGCAGAAGAACAAGAATTTGAGACAACATTTTATAACGTAATAAGCAAAGAACAGTTATTTTGTAAGGTAATTAATAAGAGATCTGAAATAGGTTCGGTCGAGGGTACGTCTCTACGTAGGTCGGGGTATGTCTAATGTAAGAATTAGGTACAATAGATTTGGTGAAAATAAACCTGCAGTAAGGCTGCCCCCCATAACTTTACCAACGTTTAATGGCAAATACTGTTCTTGGTTGGAATTCAAGGACACGTTTTTAAGTTTAGTAGATAAAAATGAAACTCTAAACGATATTCAAAAATCCTATTAGTTACGCTCTTCATTAGAGAAAAAGGTTCTTGATGTGATTCAGTCCATTGAAGCAACTGCATCAAATTATCATGTAGCATGGCAGTTGCTAATGGACAGATATGAGAATAAACCATTAATGATTCATAATCATATCCACAGTATATTTGAGCATCCTGGTTTAGTCAATGAATAACGTACAGGATTAAGAAATTTATATGACACAGTAACAAAACATTTACGCTCCTTAAAAGGTTTAGGCGAAGATACTGATTCCTGGGACAGACTAACTATTTATATTATAGCCAATAAATTCGACACGGTTACTAGTCGCGATTGGGAAAAACACTTGTATGCCAAGATTTACCACAATTAAAAGATCTAAGCCAGTTTCTAAAACCTAAGTGCGAAATTTTTGGAAAAATTAGAGATAACAGCTGCCGAAGAAAGACCCATACTTCAAAAGCAGAAGAGGCCTGGCAGTCACGAGTTTCTTGCTTTTAATCAAGATAAAACATTCAAGTGTAATTAGAAATACTGCTCTTAAAGGAACAGTATTTCCAAGTGTGCTACATTTTTAAAACTATTTGTAGAACAAAGAATTACAGCTGTTAAAAAATTAAACTTGTTTAAATTGTCTGCGACATACACATCCGTTCTGGAAATGTAAGTTAAATAAATGCTCGAGATATTATAAGGCCCAATACTTTACTCCATTCGGAAAGTTTTGTACAAAATAACCATTCGACGGTAAATAGCACTACAAGAAACTCTAGTGATGATAGATCGCCACCAACCCCATCGGCTGCTACAAATCATCGTGCAGAAAGCGTGGCAACACATGTAAAGGCGTGCGGTTGTCTCGTATATGTCGATGGTCGATCAGAATGACGGGTGACAGGCGGCGAGGCAAGACGAATATAACCAAGAAAGGATTGCTGTGGAGAACGTGATCGAAGCAGCATCGTCTTATTTCCGCGCAAAAAACTGCTAACACCTGTGGTAGCATTTGAACCTTTTGTGTGGTGCGTTTGTAGAGTTGGTAAGTTGATTCTTTGCCTAACTAAAGTACAACCAATTTTCTTGCAATTTAAGTGGAGTAAAGTATGGAAGAGAGGGACGACCCCGGAGGGGGTCGTAAAAGGGAAAAAATTAGTAGCGGCTCGGAACCTGAGAAAAACAAAAGAAGCGTTTCTCTACGATCTCCGGAGATCATAGAAAAACGTTTTAAAACCGATCATACCTTAATGAAAAATACGGACCAAACCATGGTAACCTTGACGGATTCAGTAAGCAAACGTAGAGAAAGAATGCCAAAAATGTACAGTACAACTGATAAAGGACCTTTTATAGTTTGTATCGAATCAACCGAAAAATCGGGCAACAACATTGGCAGATTCAATGATCTAAAAATAGCTAAAGACATATTCAACCTAAAGCTTGACAATATTAAGTACATTAAAAATAAAGGTCTAAATAGACTATCAATTGAATTCACAGATCATAAATCAGCGAATGAATTTATCGATAACTCTTTCTTAAAAGGAAAAGGCTACTCAATGTATGTACCATACAATTTTATAACCTGTAAGGGCATTGTCAAGCAGATTCATAAGGATATACCTGTAACGGAATTAATGGAAACAATCAATTCTCCATTTGAGGTAATTAATATTATTAGACTAAATCGCAAAGTTCTTACCTCTGATAGTCAAAACAAAAATATAGCCACATACGAACCAACAGGCACTATTCTAATAACATTTAAAGGGATTATACTACCCAAATCAATTGACTTTTACAGGTTGAAGAAGAATGTGTTACCATACGTAGCCCCGGTCACCCAATGCTTCAATTGCCTTCTTTATGGGCACACACAAAAACTGTGTAAAAATAAAAAAAAGAAATGTTTTAATTGTGGGGAGGAGGACACACACTCTAATACCACTAACGAGCAGTCAATAACTTATTCTTGCATGACAAAGTGTATTCACTGTAAAAGTAGAGAACACAGAAGCTCTTCAAAGACCTGTCCTGAGTTTAATCGCCAGAGAGATATCAAGAGACTGATCGCATATGAAAATATCACGTTTTTTGATGCCAATAGGTTATGTCCCAAACCGCTATCCACCGAAGAGCATATTTTACATCCGCAAGACTTCCTGAACTTGCCCTTCCGTTCAACTAACCATATAGAAACTAACGTAATCACACCTGCCCAACGGAGAAGCACCAATTTTACAGAAAATGGAAAACAAAATTTCAGCCAAGTTCTGGCTGCTAACAATAATCAGAAACAAACCCCAAAGGGGTTCGATAGGGTTGCCCATAACGAAGCGCTATTTTTCCCAAACTCGCGCGGGCCTAATATACAAATCAACAAAACTTCAATTCTCAACACAAACGATAGACAGGAGCCGAATTTAAACCCAACAGATAATCAACAAATTATTGACGAGACCCCCTCGCCTATTAGTGCCCATATCAATACTATTCAAACCCTGGAAACACTACTAAAGAACACAACCCCACAACAAATAATAGAACTTGTTAGATACCTAAGTGATCAAAATTCATAAAACCAGAAAGGACCATGCTTTTTCCCTCCCTCTTTTCATTCCTTACATGTCTGTCTTTCATTTCATTCCTTTTAAAAAATGATAACTCAAAAAAGTTTAAAGAATTAAAAAATTCTCCAATGGAACATTAGAAGCGTTTTTACCAATAAAGGAGACCTTATCAATCTAATAGAAGAACTTCAACCTAATGTTATTTTACTTAATGAAACGTGGCTTAAAGCTAATCATAAATTTGCTTTAAAATCATATAAAATAATTAGGCAGGATCGCAATGATGGCTATGGCGGATTGGCTACATGCGTCAAGAACAACTTGAAATTTACACTGATAAAGAACCAAATAACATCGGTAGCCGATCAATTTCAATTCGTCATAATCAAAATTGCCAACATCAACATAATCAATGTATATTGTCCCCCACAAACTAAGCTTGAAAAAAATAAACTCAATAACATAATTGACAGCCTGCAAGGATCGAACATCCTCATGGGCGACCTAAACGCGTTACATCGATCACTAGGTGGATCTACCACAAATCAGAACGGCAAGAACTTAGAGGAATTCTTAACCGAAAACAACCTAATTTTGATCAGCAATGGAACTCCCACCAGGTTCACTGCTAATACCCAAAACCCCCTGGATATTGCCATCATAGATCCTCAACTGGCTCCAAAGTCTAAATGGAGTGTTCTTCCAGACTGCGCAAATAGTGATCACTTCCCCACCTTATACGAAGTAAACACCTCAGGAAAAAGCGATACCTATATCTTCAAACCTTACCAGATAAGAAATTTCAGAAAAGCCGACTGGAACACATTTTACGAAACCTCATCCTTACAAGCTCTAAAACTCACCGGAAAAGAGATAGATTATTCGACATTCACACAAATAATTAATTTATCTGCCTCAAAATCAATCCCTCTCAAAACAATTAACAGCAACAAATCCAAAATAACAAACCCTTGGTGGGATGATGAATGCTCTCTTCTGATCAGCAATAGAAAAGCAGCCTTGAGAAGGTTTAGAAACAATCCAAATCTTGACAACTTTATACAGGCAAAAAAAACGATAGCCATAACAAGAAAAGCCCTTAAAAGGAAAAAGAAAAACAAATTCGTGGAATTCTGTGGTTCACTAAATAGAAACTCGGATATGAGCTACGTCTGGAATAAGGTCAAGGCCTTTTATGGCTCCCCTACAGAACAAAAAACTCAGGACATTCCAGAAGTTCTACGTCAAACTTTACTAAACAACATGGCAATGACAACAGCCAGTACCGATTTCTCCCCTCAATCACCCACTCAAAACGAAATAAAATTATTCACAATCGAAGAGCTTAAAGCTTCCCTAAAAAACAAAAC